GTTTTGAGTGAAAACATAAAAGTCCATTTTCTGGCTAAACTAAAGGCCTGAGGGGAAAAAGGAAGATAGTCTGTGATCACTTATATTTCCCACCAAAAATCGATGTTTTGAGTGGAAACATAAAAGTCCATTTTCTGGCTAAACTAAAGGCCTGAGGGCAAAAAGAAAGATAATCTGTGATCAATCTTATTTTCCACCAAAAATCGATATTTTGACTGAAAACATAAAAGGCCTGAGGGCAAAAAGGAAGATAATCTGTGATCACTTTTATTACCCATCAAAAATCGATTTTTTGAGTGAAAACATAAAAGTGCATTTTCTGGCTAAACTAAAGGCCTGAGGGCAAAAAGGAAGATAATCTGTGATCACTCAAAAATCGATTTTTGAGTGAAAACATAAAAGTCCATTTTCTGGCTAAACTAAAGGCCTGAGGGCAAAAAGACAGATAATCTGTGATCACTTTTATTTCCCACCAAAAATCGATATTTTTAGTAAAAACATAAAAGTCCATTTTCTGGCTAAACTAAAGGCCTGAGGGCAAAAAGGAAGATAATCTGTGATCACTTTTATTTCCCACCAAAACTCGATGTTTTGAGTGAAAACATAAAAGTCCATTTTCTGGCTAAACTAAAGGCCTGTGGGCAAAAAGGAAGATAATCTGTGATCACTTTTATTTCCCACCAAAAATCGATTTTTTGAGTGAAAACATAAAAGTCCATTTTCTGGCTAAACTAAAGGCCTGAGGGCAAAAAGGAAGATAATCTGTGATCACTTTTATTTCCCACCAAAAATCGATGTTTTGAGTGTAAACATAAAAGTCCATTTTCTGGCTAAACTAAAGGCCTGAGGGCAAAAAGGAAGATAATCTGTGATCACTTTTATTTTCCACCAAAAATCTATGTTTTGAGTGAAAACATAAAAGTCCATTTTCTGGCTAAACTAAAGGCCTGAGAGCAAAAAGAAAGATAATCTGTGATCACTTTTATTACCCACCAAAAATCGATTTTTTGAGTGAAAACATAAAAGTCCATTTTCTGGCTAAACTAAAGGCCTGAGGGCAAAAAGGAAGATAATCTGTGATCACTTTTATTTTCCACCAAAAATCGATGTTTTGAGTGTAAACATAAAAGTCCATTTTCTGGCTAAACTAAAGGCCTGAGAGCAAAAAGAAAGATAATCTGTGATCACTTTTATTACCCACCAAAAATCGATATTTTTAGTGAAAACTTAAAAGTCCATTTTCTGGCTAAACTAAATGCCTGAGGGCAAAAAGGAATATAATCTGTGATCACTTTTATTTCCCACCAAAAATCGATTTTTTGAGTGAAAACATCCATTTTCTTATTTTTTATGGAAAGTTGTGTTTTGGACAAAATTGTTTACTAAAGTCGTTTATCAATTAACTTGTTTATTTTACTCCCTTAAACTGTGTTTATGGTAATAATTTCATCTTTTGACAGCTGTCCTCGAAGATTTCCAATTTTTGATAAGATTTATAAGCTGATTACAGACCTTATATTAGAAAAGCAATAACAACAACGGTAAACCATTTGTAGAGTGTTTGTTTAATTGAAGTTTTAAACCACCACCGACATTTGGAATTATCAACTCATGTGTAAGGTATAGAAATAATATGTTTTTTTTATCAAGATAAAGTGGTAATAATGGTCAGATTTTGTTAGTAGAGAAACTATAGTCTCTCAACTATATAACAGTCTTAAGTCCTTTAAGTTAAAGGCTTTAACTAGACAATAGTTTAGAGTTTCACGAGTATAGAACAGGTTATAGTCTTTCAACTGTTTACGTTAATACAACGAAAAGTTTCGTTAATGATACGATATTTTACGTTATTGTTACGAAAGTTAGGTCAAACTAGTTTCTTCACTCTGAAGCAGTTAGATTTCGGTACTAGAGAGCTATATAGTCTGTGGACTATTCCAAAGTCTCTACTTTTTACTCTCCATCGACTATGTATTGACTTTAAAGTAATATTTATATAGTTTCTGGTTTATAACATTTTCTCTTTAGAATCAATATCTTTCCAAAATCAAATAAACAAATCCTTTATTTATTTACCAAACTATCTAAAGCTTTTTATTGCACTTGTAGCTCAATACAAAAAAACAAGTAAATTATGAAAAAAACCCAAAACAATTTATCTATTTTTACACATGTTAAATGTCAATAAGGGTTAAAAACATAATTATTTGCCCAACCAAATTGTACAACAAATGATTGTACAAAAACGATATTAAATAAAAAAACTCTTATCAATTATTAAAACATAAATATTATAAAGAAATATATAGACGACAAAATTTATTGAACACCTGGATTTACAAAAAAAAAAAAAAAAAAAATAAAACTAAACACATTACAAATAAAAATGTTGCTGAAAATCACCCCCTGAAACTTTATAGTACTATGTGGGTGTTAAAAATACAACAAATAGAAAAATGTGGTAATACAACTAAAACACGCACATTTTGAAATATTACTGAAAATCTACTAGAAAATTATTTCCGCTTTTAAATGGACAAACAATTGTTTTTTAGTTAAAAAACGTAAAGGACCTTTTTGTAGGATGCTTTTAGGATGTTTAAATGCTTTAAAAAACACAACCAAGCGTTAAATATTTGGTGTTAAAAAACAATTAGTAAATGATTTTCTTATTTGTCTAGACATTTTGGTTTAAAAAATATGATATTTTAAGGAAAAATTTGAAAAAAATAATTAAAATGACAAATGATTTGTAAATGTAACGGTTTTTGGGTAAAACAGGGAACTAGAACTGAACAAGAACTGAACTAGAACTGAACTAGAACTGAACTAGAACTGAACTAGAACTGAACTAGAACTGAACTAGAACTGAACTAGAACTGAACTAGAACTGAACTAGAACTGAACTAGAACTGAACTAGAACTGAACTAGAACTGAACTAGAACTGAACTAGAACTGAACTAGAACTGAACTAGAACTGAACTAGAACTGAACTAGAACTGAACTAGAACTGAACTAGAACTGAACTAGAACTGAACTAGAACTGAACTAGAACTGAACTAGAACTGAACTAGAACTGAACTAGAACTGAACTAGAACTGAACTAGAACTGAACTAGAACTGAACTAGAACTGAGAACTGAACTAGAACTGAACTAGAACTGAACTAGAACTGAACTAGAACTGAACTAGAACTGAACTAGAACTGAACTAGAACTGAACTAGAACTGAACTAGAACTGAACTAGAACTGAACTAGAACTGAACTAGAACTGAACTAGAACTGAACTAGAACTGACTAGAACTGAACTAGAACTGAACTAGAACTGAACTAGAACTGAACTAGAACTGAACTAGAACTGACTAGAACTGAACTAGAACTGAACTAGAACTGAACTAGAACTGAACTAGAACTGACTAGAACTGAACTAGAACTGAACTAGAACTGAACTAGAACTGAACTAGAACTGAACTAGAACTGAACTAGAAACTGAACTAGAACTGAACTAGAACTGAACTAGAACTGAACTGAACTGAACTAGAACTGAACTAGAACTGAACTAGAACTGAACTAGAACTGAACTAGAACTGAACTAGAACTGAACTAGAACTGAACTAGAACTGAACTAGAACTGAACTAGAACTGAACTAGAACTGAACTAGAACTGAACTAGAACTGAACTAGAACTGAACTAGAACTGAACTAGAACTGAACTAGAACTGAACTAGAACTGAACTAGAACTGAACTAGAACTGAACTAGAACTGAACTAGAACTGAACTAGAACTGAACTAGAACTAAACTAGAACTAAACTAGAACTAAACTAGAACTAAACTAGAACTGAACTAGAACTGAACTAGAACTGAACTAGAACTGAACTAGAACTGAACTAGAACTGAACTAGAACTGAACAAAACTGAACAAGAAATGATATAGAACTCATCTAGAATTCCGGTAGAACTCAACTACAACTGAAGTACATATGTATGAACTACAACTAAAGTGGAACAGATCGACAACTGAACTATAACCGATCTAGAACTGAACTAGAACTGAACTAGAACTGAACTAGAACTGAACTAGAACTGAACTAGAACTGAACTAGAACTGAACTAGAACTGAACTAGAACTGAACTAGAACTGAACTAGAACTGAACTAGAACTGAACTAGAACTGAACTAGAACTGAACTAGAACTGAACTAGAACTGAACTAGAACTGAACTAGAACTGAACTAGAACTGAACTAGAACTGAACTAGAACTGAACTAGAACTGAACTAGAACTGAACTAGAACTGAACTAGAACTGAACTAGAACTGAACTAGAACTGAACTAGAACTGAACTAGAACTGAACTAGAACTGAACTAGAACTGAACTAGAACTGAACTAGAACTGAACTAGAACTGAACTAGAACTGAACTAGAACTGAACTAGAACTAACTAGAACTAAACTAGAACTAAACTAGAACTGAACTAGAACTGAACTAGAACTGAACTAGAACTGAACTAGAACTGAACTAGAACTGAACTAGAACTGAACTAGAACTGAACTAGAACTGAACTAGAACTGAACTAGAACTGAACTAGAACTGAACTAGAACTGAACTAGAACTGAACTAGAACTAAACTAGAACTAAACTAGAACTAGAACTGAACTAGAACTGAACTAGAACTGAACTAGAACTGAACTAGAACTGAACTAGAACTGAACTAGAACTGAACTAGAACTGAACTAAACTGAACAAGAAATGATATAGAACTCATCTAGAATTCCGGTAGAACTCAACTACAACTGAAGTACATATGTATGAACTACAACTAAAGTGGAACAGATCGACAACTGAACTATAACCGATCTAGAACTGAACTAGATTGCGGAACAATCTATAGTCAGTCGACTATAAAACAATCTCTCTCGAATCTACTAAAGAGCAATCTGTTGTATCTCTTCTATAGAAATGTTTAATTAAAATTACCAATCTGTAAATTTTGCTTTTTCAATTAGTTTTATTAAATAAATCTTTTTTAACTTAATACTAAAAGAATTTAAAATAAATAGTTTTAGCTTATTGTAAATATAAATTATAAAACTTAACTTAAAATATACCACAGAATAGTTTTCGTATAATTTTGAATTTCATTGTTTGTTTAAGTTTTCGTTTTTTTTTTTTGTCGTTCTAACGAAATCGTGTCTAATAATTTTTTTAAAGACTAAAAATTGTAAGTAGACTAGAAAATTTTCAAATATTTCAATGACTAGAGTTGGGAAAAATCTTTATATTTTTTTAAGTTTTCCCGTTAAACTCTTTCCAATAATTGCACAAAAAATTTAAATTAAACATCCTGGATGTTTGCTTTTTTTGCTTAATTTATAAAGCATTTTGTTGATGCATTTCATTGAAGAGATCATGACATGTTTGCGTAGTAGAAGCGGCCGTAGCCACTGATGCCGCTGTAGAGGAGGCAACCGAATCGTTTAATGTCGAATTATCGATGGCGGAATCGGAGGAATGATTGGAATTATTAGAATTGTAACAACGATTAAGTGGTAATTGTGCGTTTTGATTCTGTTGAGCTTGATGCTGTTGATGATGATGATGACTATGATGATTGTGGTTGGTATTCAAATGAGATCTAGGATCTTCAGGAGTCCAGGTACGTGCATATAATTTACTACCCGGATAACGATCGCCACGACGATACCATGATAAAGAATGTGATATACCGCCAGCTGTAAAAAGAAATAAAAAGAAAAAAATTATACAATTAAGAAAAGACGGCTTGTTAGTCTAGTTTAGAAATTAATTTTAAAATTAAAAATTATATTTTTTAAGCTGTTTATAAAAATCCTTATTAAATCCTTTTAACAAAAGATTTCATCAAAAAAGGGTTTTCTATATTTAAGACTTTCCTCTAAATGTGCCCTTTTTGTGCATATTTTTGTGTTCAATACAAATATTTGATTAAATAACACTTGAAAAAACATTAGTGTCTACATTACAATGCCATTAGTGGTAACGTTAAAAATGACGTTTGAAGTGTCAAAAGATATTTTTTTTTGCCGCTCGAACATTTTTGGCAAATAAGGGCGGTTTTATGTTGTCGTAATGAAAATCCTTTTTAAATACAAACCAGTGTTATTGCAGCTGCATGCTGAGAGGGATTTAATTGTCTGTTAAAACATCAAATATTATGAAACTCTTAAAATAGCTAAAGTCTGTGTGTGCTGCAGACAACTTCCAATCAGAATGTAGTATAGTTTTTTTCCATAAAATGGGGTGTTGTTTTTTGCAACTCTAGCAGCCCTTTTTTACATATGTATGTACATCCTTTCCCTTCCTTAAACACTTGTTTATAACTTTGTTACTTTTTTTATTGTTCAAATTTGTTCGAGATGTCATTAAAATCAACAGCTCTCTTCAAATGCGGGTGTGAAATATTTGTGGTTGCTTCTTTGTCTGTACCTAACTGTATTTCTTTCAAGTGCTTGATAAAGTGTTGCTAATTTTTGTGAAAAGCCTCCCCAGCAATTAGCTACTTGTTTTTGTATCATGGGAAAAGCTCCAAATGTTTCAGGAGGTAACTAATATTTGTTTTTAAGACGTCTACGACTATAGAACTAAAACTATACTAGAACTGAACCAGAACTGAACTAAAACTGAACTAGAACTGAACTAGAACTGAACTAGAACTGAACTAGAACTGAACTAGAACTGAACTAGAACTGAACTAGAACTGAACTAGAACTGAACTAGAACTGAACTAGAACTGAACTAGAACTGAACTAGAACTGAACTAGAACTGAACTAGAACTGAACTAGAACTGAACTAGAACTGAACTAGAACTGAACTAGAACTGAACTAGAACTGAACTAGAACTGAACTAGAACTGAACTAGAACTGACTAGAACTGAACTAGAACTGAACTAGAACTGTAACTAGAACTGAACTAGAACTGAACTAGAACTGAACTAGAACTAGAACTGAACTAGAACTGAACTAGAACTGAACTAGAACTGAACTAGAACTGAACTAGAACTGAACTAGAACTGAACTAGAACTGAACTAGAACTGAACTAGAACTGAACTAGAACTGAACTAGAACTGAACTAGAACTGAACTAGAACTGAACTAGAACTGAACTAGAACTGAACTAGAACTGAACTAGAACTGAACTAGAACTGAACTAGAACTGAACTAGAACTGAACTAGAACTGAACTAGAACTGAAAGAACTGAACTAGAACTGAACTAGAACTGAACTAGAACTGAACTAGAACTGAACTAGAACTGAACTAGAACTGAACTAGAACTGAACTAGAACTGAACTAGATCTGAACTAGAACTGAACTAGAACTAGAACTGAACTAGAACTAGAACTGAACTAGAACTGAACTAGAACTGAACTAGAACTAGAACTGAACTAGAACTGAACTAGAACTGAACTAGAACTAAACTAGAACTGAACTAGAACTGAACTAGAACTGAACTATAACTAACTATAACTGAACTAGAACTGGACTACAACTAAATATAGTGAATGCAGGGAAACATGAATATCTTATGGCAAAAGTTTTTAGCAGTTGTCAAGCTAAAATATATTTCCTTTTATACATCAAAAGAAGAATAAAATCCTTCCCCCTTCGATAGCAAAAACATTTTTATGATTATTCATTGAGATAAAAATTTACCTTGATATGTTATACATATATCATAAAATAAAAATACACCTTCATGTATACAAAAGTAATGATTTTTCCTGACATCCAAATAATTACGCTTGTGAGAAATTTAGAAAGCTTTAACAGCTGTAATTATGTTTTTCTCAAAACCCAACTAAACAACAAAGTAGAAACAAATTTAGCTTGTTACAAATTACACCAACAAATAAATATATAGATAGAATCTATTGGCAGGGAAGAAATTACATACTAGAGGGGTTTTTGGTGTTCAGGAACAAAAACACGCAATGTATTGTCTAAGTATAAAGCTCCCCAAAAATAAAACTACATTAAGGATTCTATGTAAAATTTAATCCTACGAACTGCACGCCTGGCAATTGTTCACACCATTCAATAATAAAGAGCAACAAAACATGATGAGGAATTGGTATAAATAATGATGAACAAATGAATTTTAAAATGAAGAAGAAGAGAAGAGTTTATAAAGATAATGGATGTTAAAGTATCATGATGTAAATAATAATTAAGAGGAGAGGTTTAAAGAAGGAGTATGTAGAGTGGATGTGAAATTGGGAAATCAAAATTACCTTTAATATAAGATCGATTATCATCTATGTTTCCAAAGAAACGGTTTTCGAACGATTAAACCGGATTTCGGATATTGAAAACATAATCGAATTGAATCAAAAACTTTAGTGAAATGTTAAGTTGTTTTGAAATCGAAAACTTAAGAAAAATATGATTTTGAAAGTGAGATGATTAAATGAAGATTTCAGATATGAAAATCTCAACTTAGATGGTGATAATTCTTAAACAATACAGCAAATATGGGTTACTATTAAATCGTGACGAAAACCCCCAAATGCTTTTGAATACTTTGAAAGAGAGATGATAAGTAGTACGGAACTTTCAGCAAATTATTAAAGTTTTTAACAAAAAAGGAAAACTCCCACCAGTTTTGGAAATAATCAACGATTTACTCGTCTATTAAACTATGTTTCATGGATTTGGAAATTTAGAATAGGTTAGATTAAAAGACGACTGCTAAAGGGCTTATTTTGCTCTAATTTTCATGAGAAAATATTGCTGGAAAACCATTATGTTCCAAAGCTCTGTTTCCTAGACATAGTTCCTTAAATTCTATCAATCGGTGTTCCTAAGGGAAGTAATAGTATCGATCCGAATCTTCTAATTTTGCATAGTTCTACCAGTAAACCGGTGTGTCCACTTAGAATACTTAATATCGTATTAACTTCGTCCTCCCTCGTCCCGCTATTTTATGTGACCGTAAGGGACTCTTTCTCTCTTGTTTTGCAATCGTTAGATTATCTTTCTTCCCTTTATAGCGATTACATTCGCTTTTTCCTTGTCCCTTATCCCCGTATCCATATAAAGCAGAACTTAACACTGCAAGAGTCTTCAGTTATGGCTCTCTATCAGTCCAATACGGTTTTCCGTTCAAATTGCCTTCTGATTGTCCACTTCACACATTTCTTGCTTTCCATGCTATGGTTAAGTAGACGGTAGTATATCTCGGTCTCCAGATTTCCTAAGTAGACACGTATTGTCTGCTATATTTTCACTCATGTTTCGCTTGTCTCACAGTTTCCAACAATTTCTGTTGCCGGTACAATATAGAGCACGTCTGGTCTTTGAATATAACCGTCCAATATGTCCTATAACCAGTTTTGTTTCATTCCCCTAAAGATAAGAGCCGCTTGGCTGTGAAACTTAATCAAACATGTTAGAATCTCTAAAATAAAACTCGACAATTCAGAAACTGTAAAGTTTCTAAACAGAAAATGATCAAGACTTCAAAAGACACTATTATGTGATCGGGAACACCTGGCTTTTGAATATAATCGTCCAGTATATCTGGAATACATTTGAGTCTTGTAACCGATTTTAGCCAATTTTCCTAATGATAAGAATACGCTCGGCTAAAAAACTCAAGCATGCTAATATCTCGAAAATAAAACCCGGCACTTCGAAATTGTAACGTTCCAAACAGAAACAGATCAAGACTTCAAAGAAGACCATACTGTGATCGAGCGAGTCTTATCTTTGAATATAATATATATATATATTGAATATAGAAATTATCAAGTATCCAAAAGAGATAATAACCATATTCCAGTAAACAAATACTTTCGAAATTTGGCATATTTAATCAGAACATGTTAATGATTTCATCACCTTTTGGCGCCACTAGATTTTGACATTAAAGATCGAAGATTGATCCCTAATAATAAGAAATAAGAAAGAAACTTTCTTTCTCACACTTTAAACTTTTAATAATCGCCTGCAGTCAAGCATAACGTTATATAGATATTTCCAATATATAATCATACTAATCATAACCTACAAAATAACTCTATATGTGACCATTACTCTTAGGGGAACTGATAAAAACTTGCGTGTTCTATAACGCCCACCCAAAACTGCAGCTGTTTTTTTTGTAAACTCATAACATAATATCGCTGCATATAAGAAAAATTACGCTTGATTGAGAATTTATAATTAACACACAATAATGTAATCAAAACGTATAAATACGAAAGCGATAAGCGATCTTTTAAATATTCAAATCTACGATTATTTTTGGCGAAAAACAAATGAACACATAAACGCCAAGATCTTCCATCACTGTCATGACGAAAAATAATGTTCATTCATTGATGGTTTCATTGACGATTAGTTAATCAAAAACCATATGGATGTGGTTTTTGGTTAGAAAAGAAGATTCTTATCTTAAATGCTAAAAATTAAGCAGGGTGTTGGTTGGTCGGTGGTGGTGGTTTTTTTTTTCTAAAAACAATATTAAGTTCTAATGATTATCATGAGCCTGCAAGTTATAGTTCATGATGCAGCACGTCTGTCTGTAACTAATTAAAATTTTCACACTTTTTCCCTTTATATCCCTATATGTGTACAAAAATTTATATCCTGTCTATATAGAGAAACATTTAAAACAATTTGCTTTCTAACTACTGATGTATTTTAATTTGTTGCAGTTGAAGATTTTCGTATTGAATGTAAATCGCTAATAAAAATGAACAAACGAAACGCACAAAACAACATTTCGTTACGGTTTTTTGGTTAATAATTTTTCTATTCAAAATGTATGACGTTTCAGGAAATGAAATAATGAAGATTCGCTTTCCTTTAAAAAAAATTTGTATGAGGGGAAAAAGGGTTACATTTTTTTCTAAATAAACTGAAAAATATTGTGGTTTTTTTTAAGATATCATTTTAAAAAAGTCAAAACAAAAATAAATTTTAATGTAATTTAGTTAAAAAATTCTTTAAAATATTCAAATTTAAGTGGTTGATAAAATATGGAACCAGTTTTTTGTTAAAAAAAACTTATTAAAATTGAAATATTTTAAATTGTAAATTCTAAGACTAGAAACACAATTGAAGCGGTTGCGTCATGACAAAATTGAAATGCTTTTCTCGGCGTTTTTTTTTTTTTTTTTTAAATTTCGGGTAACCAGGGGACGGTATAGTTTAGACTAAAGTCCAGACTATAGTAAATACTATATTTCAATTAGATTATATTAAAGACTATAGTTCAGACTACAGTAGAGACTATAGTACAGACTATAGTCCAGACTATAGTAGAGACTATAGTCCACACTATAGTAGAGACTATAGTCCAGACTATAGTAGAGACTATAGTCCAGACTATAGTAGAGACTATAGTCCACACTATAGTAGAGACTATAGTCCAGACTATAGTAGAGACTATAGTTCAGACTATAGTAGCGACTATAGTCCAGATTATAGTAGAGACTATAGTTCAGACTATAGTCCAGACTATAGTAGAGACTATAGTCCAGACTATAGTAGAGACTATAGTACAGACTATAGTAGAGACTATAGTACAGACTATAGTAGAGACTATAGTACAGACTATAGTCCAGACTATAGTAGAGACTATAGTCCACACTATAGTAGAGACTATAGTCCACACTATAGTAGAGACTATAGTCCAGACTATAGTAGAGACTATAGTCCAGACTATAGTAGAGACTATAGTCCAGAATATAGTAGAGACTATAGTCCAGACTGGTAGAGACTATAGTCCAGTCTATAGCAGAGACTATAGTATTTCAATTATATTAAAGACTAAAGACTACAGTAGAGACTATAGTCCAGATTATAGTAGATACTATAGTTCAGACTATAGTAGAGACTATAGTCCAGATTATAGTAGAGACTATAGTTCAGACTATAGTCCAGACTATAGTAGAGACTATAGTAGAGACTATAGTCCAGACTATAGTCCAGACTAGTAGAGACTATAGTCTAGAATATAGTCCAGACTATAGCAGAGACTATAGTAGAGATTATAGCAGAGACTATAGTAGAGACTTTATTCCAGACTATAATAGAGACTGTAGTCGAGACTATAGTAGAGACTTCAGTCCAGACTATAGTAAAGACTACAGTCCAGACTATAGTAGAGACTACAGTCCAGACTTCAGTCCAGACTATAGTAAAGACTACAGTCCAGACTATAGTAGAGACTACAGTCCAGACTATAGTAGAGACTACAGTCCAGACTATAGTTGAGATTATAATCCAGATTATAGTTGAGATTATAGTCCAGACTATAGTAGAGATTATAGTCCAGACTATAGTAGAGACTATAGTTCAGATTATAGTAGAGACTATAGTCCAGACTATAGTAGAGACTATAGTCCAGACTATAGTAGAGACTATAGTCCATACTATAGTAGAGACTATAGTCCATACTATAGTAGAGACTATAGTCCAGACTATAGTAGAGACTATAGTCCAGACTATAGTAGAGACTATAGTCCAGACTATAGTAAAGACTATAGTCCAGACTATAGTAGAGACTATAGTCCAGACTATAGTAGAGACTATAGTCCAGACTATAGTAGAGACTATAGTCCAGACTATAGTAGAGACTATAGTCCAGACTATAGTAGAGACTATAGTCCAGACTATAGTAGAGACTATAGTCCAGACTATAGTAGAGACTATAGTCCAGACTATAGTAGTGACTATAGTCCAGACTATAGTAGAGACTATAGTCCAGACTATAGTAGAGACTATAGTCCAGACTATAGTAGAGACTATAGTCCAGACTATAGTAGAGACTATAGTCCAGACTATAGTAGAGACTATAGTCCAGACTATAGTAGAGACTATAGTCCAGACTATAGTAGAAATTGTTGTCCAGACTAAGGTAGAGACTATAGTGCAGACTATAGTCCAGACTATAGTAGAGACCCTATTTTAGACTAATTGTATAAATAATATTCAAAATTTCAACTATTCCATAAATACTCACTTCTATCCTTCAGTATAATCTTTTTCGGCGGTTCCTTCTGATAATTGCGCTTCAGACTTAAACCCGGTTCATTGCCGTTCTTATCTTTTTTCACCATTTCACTCAAAAATGTTATATAACTAATGGCCAACTTCAAGGTATCCACTTTACTTAAACGTTTCTCATACGGTAGCGTCGGTATATGCGAACGTAAACCCTCAAAGGCCTCATTAATGCTTTGCATACGTCGTCGTTCTCGTAAATTGGCCGCCTGACGTTGTTGTGCCACTTGAGAGGCACATTTAAGGCGACGTTTATGCGAAGAACGTCTAACATTAGAAGGAAGAAGACAAAATTTGAAAATACTACATTAAAGGGGGGACAGTTAAAAGGTGTGAAACTTTTTATGGGAGATTATAAGAAAAACCTACGTCTTTTCGTTGTTCTCTTGATCACTATTAAAGCCACTGCTATAGGCGTCATCATCATCCGTATCGGTGCTATTGTCATCGCCAAAGAAAAACTCTGAACTAGAGGAAGAAGAGCCATTGGTGGCATGAGAACCCTCGAAGAAGTGACGAGCCATTGTCGATTCCAAATCAAAGTTATCCATGGAAAACATAGTGTTCTAAAGGGGTCCTAAATGGACGCTTTTCAATTATCAGGTGTTAACGCGTGCAGCTAGTTGTAAGCCACGTGTGGCCACTTGGTATTGGGTCTAGTATTACAAAACACAAGGGGTTCTTTTATTCACCAAAAATCGGGGTTTGTTTTACTTGACTTTTTCTATATGGTTTTGTTATCTTTGTTATAATCACTTTACCATTGTATTGTAAATATGTTAAACACTTTTATATTGTAAACTGATAAGATATTGTAATATACAACTTTTCTTTTTTCTTTATTTTATTGTAAATCACTATTTCTTTTAAAATTTTTCACTTAATTCCTTAAACGTGCCTCCAATTAATTGACACATGTCCGTTATTTATCTCTATTTGTTTTTGTTGTTCTTTTGGCGAGAAGAAGCACGTGTGTATGTGTGCGTTACACTTGTTAATTGACCCGTTAATCACTTTTAAAATAAAACAAATTTCAGTTCAAATTATTTGTTCCTTCCGTTTTGAGGTCTTTTCACTTCCGTTTTTAGCGTACATTTAAACATTGTATTGAATTGTAAACGTATCCTTGCTGTATTACTCTATAATAGAAAATCAGTGGTGGGTCTTTATTAAGAGGGTGGTGGTTTTTTTGTTTGATAACAACAACATTTATATCTTTCATGGCTGTCGGCATACTTGAAAGACAAGGGGCGTTGCTTAAACCATTTTTAACAGCCAATCACAAGTCGAGGATTTTTCAAGAACAAATATATTGAAATGGAAATACATAAATGTACAAATATTTATTTTTTATAAAAATAAAATAGATTTAATTTTAATTGTAAAATTTAAGAAAACATTTTAATTGCCAACACAATTTTGCACAAAACATGAGAAATTTATTGGTTCTAAGCATGCAACTAACAGTAAACAGTGGGATCAAAGGAAAAATTGAACTAAAGTAAATTACAGACCAGAGTATAGACTTGGCAATAGCCAGGACTATTGAACAAACTAGGGACCAGACAAAAGATCAGATCAGGCCATAGTTCAGTCTTCAGACCTCAACTATAGTTCAGACTATGGGTCAGTTTACAGCCTAGACTATAGAAGAGACTATAGTCCAGTCTATAGGACTAGGCTATAGACTAGACTAGACTATAGACTAGACTAGACTAGACTAGACTATAGACTAGATTATAGACTAGACTATAGACTAGACTATAGACTAGATTGTAGACTAGACTATAGACTAGATTATAAACTAGACTATAGACTAGGCTATAGACTAGACTATAGACTACACTATAGACTAGACTATAGACTAGACTATAGACTAGACTAGACTAGACTATAGACTAGACTATAGACTAGACTATAGACTAGACTATAGACTAGACTATAGACTAGACTATAGACTAGACTATAGACTAGACTATAGACTAGACTATAGACTAGACTATAGACTAGACTATAGACTAGACTATAGACTAGACTATAGACTAGACTATAGACTAGACTATAGACTAGACTATAGACTAGACTATAGACTAGACTATAGACTAGACTATAGACTAGACTACTATAGACTAGACTATAGACTAGACTATAGACTAGACCTATAGACTAGACTATAGACTAGACTAGACTAACTAGACTAGACTATAGACTAGACTATAGACTAGACTATAGACTAGACTATAGACTAGACTATAGACTAGACTATAGACTAGACTATAGACTAGACTATAGACTAGACTATAGACTAGACTATAGACTAGACTATAGACTAGACTATAGACTAGACTATAGACTAGACTATAGACTAGACTATAGACTAGACTATAGACCTAGACTATAGACTAGACTATAGACTAGACTATAGACTAGACTAGACTAGACATAGACTACTATAGACAGACTATAGACTAGACTATAGACTAGACTATAGACTAGACTATAGACTAGACTATAGACTAGACTATAGACTATAGACTAGACTATAAGACTAGACTATAGACTAGACTATAACTAGACTATAGACTAGACTATATACTAGACTATAGACTAGATTAGACTAGCTATGACTAACTAAGAGAACTAGACTATAGACTAAGACTATGACCAGACTATAGACTAGACTATAGAACTAGACTATAGACTAGACTAGACTATAGACTAGACTAGACTTATACTAGACTAGACTAGACTAGACTAGATATGGACTAAGACTAGACTAGACTATAGACTAGACTATAGACTAGACTATAGACTAGACTATAGACAAGACTATAGACTAGACTATAGACTAGACTATAGACTAGACTATAGACTAGACTATAGACTAGACTATAGACTAGACTATAGACTAGACTATAGACTAGACTATAGACTAGACTATAGACTAGACTATAGACTAGACTATAGACTAGACTATAGACTAGACTATAGACTAGACTATAGACTAGACTATAGACTAGACTATAGACTAGACTATAGACTAGACTATAGACTAGACTATAGACTAGACTATAGACTAGACTAGACTATAGACTAGACTAGACTATAGACTAGACTAGACTAGACTAGACTAGACTATAGACTAGACTAGACTATAGACTAGACTAGACTATAGACTAGACTATAGACTAGACTATAGACTAGACTATAGACTAGACTATAGACTAGACTATAGACTAGACTATAGACTAGACTATAGACTAGACTATTGACTAGACTATAGACTAGACTATAGACTAGACTATAGACTAGACTATAGACTAGACTATAGACTGGACTATAGACTAGACTATAGACTAGACTATAGACTGGACTATAGACTAGACTATAGACTAGACTATAGACTAGACTATAGACTAGACTATAGACTGGACTATAGACTAGACTATAGACTAGACTATAGACTAGACTATAGACTAGACTATAGACTAGACTATAGACTAGACTATAGACTAGACTATAGACTAGACTATAGACTAGACTATAGACTAGACTATAGACTAGACTATAGACTAGACTATAGACTAGACTATAGACTAGACTATAGACTAGACTATAGACTAGACTATAGACTAGACTATAGACTAGACTATAGACTAGACTAGACTAGACTATAGACTAGACTATAGACTAGACTATAGACTAGACTATAGACTAGACTATAGACTAGACTATAGACTAGACTATAGACTAGACTATAGACTAGACTATAGACTAGACTATAGACTAGACTATAGACTAGACTATAGACTAGACTATAGACTAGACTATAGACTAGACTATAGACTAGACTATAGACTAGACTATAGACTAGACTATAGACTAGACTATAGACTAGACTATAGACTAGACTATAGACTAGACTATAGACTAGACTATAGACTAGACTATAGACTAGACTATAGACGACTATAGACTAGACTATAGACTAGACTATAGACTAGACTATAGACTAGACTATAGACTAGACTATAGACTAGACTATAGACTAGACTATAGACTAGACTATAGACTAGACTATAGACTAGACTATAGACTAGACTAGACTATAGACTAGACTATAGACTAGACTATAGACTAGACTATAGACTAGACTATAGACTAGACTATAGACTAGACTATAGACTAGACTATAGACTAGACTATAGACTAGACTATAGACTAGACTATAGACTAGACTATAGACTAGACTATAGACTAGACCATAGACTAGACTATAGACTAGACTATAGACTAGACTATAGACTAGACTATAGACTAGACTATAGACTAGACTATAGACTAGACTATAGACTAGACTATAGACTAGACTATAGACTAGAATAGACTAGACTATAGACTAGACTATAGACTAGACTAGACTATAGACTAGACTATAGACTAGACTATAGACTAGACTATAGACTAGACTATAGACTAGACTATAGACTAGACTATAGACCAGACTATAGACTAGACTATAGACTAGACTATAGACTAGACTATAGACTAGACTATAGACTAGACTATAGACTAGACTATAGACTAGACTATAGACTAGACTATAGACTAGACTATAGACTAGACTATAGACTAGACTATACACTAGACTATAGACTAGACATAGACCAGACTATAGACTAGACTATAGACTAGACTATAGACTAGACTATAGACTAGACTATAGACCAGACTATAGACTAGACTATAGACCAGACTATAGACTAGACTATAGACTAGACTATAGACTAGACTATAGACTAGACTATAGACTAGACTATAGACTAGACTATAGACTAGACTATAGACTAGACTAGACTATAGACTAGACTATAGACTAGACTATAGACTAGACTATAGACTAGATTAGACTATAGACTAGACTATAGACTAGACTATAGACTAGACTATAGACTAGACTATAGACTAGACTATAGACTAGACTATAGACTAGACTATAGACTAGACTATAGACTAGACTAGACTAAGACTAGACTAGACTATAGACTAGACTATAGACTAGACTATAGACTATACTATAGACTAGACTATAGACTAGACTATAGACTAGACTATAGACTAGACATAGACTAGACTATAGACTAGACTATAGACTAGACTATAGACTAGACTATAGACTAGACTATAGACTAGACTATAGACGACTATAGACTAGACTAGACTTAGACTAGACTATAGACTAGACTATAGACTAGACTATAGACTAGACTAGACTAGACTAGACTAGACTATAGACTAGACTATAGACTAGACTATAGACTAGACTATAGACTAGACTATAGACTAGACTATAGACTAGACTATAGACTAGACTATAGACTAGACTATAGACTAGACTATAGACTAGACTATAGACTAGACTATAGACTAGACTATAGACTAGACTATAGACTAGACTATAGACTAGACTAGACTAGACTATAGACTAGACTATAGACTAGACTATAGACTAGACTATAGACTAGACTATAGACTAGACTATAGACTAGACTATAGACTAGACTATAGACTAGACTATAGACTAGACTATAGACTAGACTATAGACTAGACTATAGACTAGACTATAGACTAGACTATAGACTAGACTATAGACTAGACTATAGACTAGACTATAGACTAGACTATAGACTAGACTATAGACTAGACTATAGACTAGACTATAGACTAGACTATAGACTAGACTATACTAGACTATAGACTAGACTATAGACTAGACTATAGACTAGACTATAGACTAGACTATAGACTAGACTATAGACTAGACTATAGATAGACTAGACTATAGACTAGACTATAGACTAGACTATAGACTAGACTATAGACTAGACTATACTAGACTATAGACTAGACTATAGACTAGACTATAGACTAGACTATAGACCAGACTATAGACTAGACTATAGACTAGACTATAGACTAGACTATAGACTAGACTATAGACTAGACTATAGACTAGACTATAGACTAGACTATAGACTAGACTATAGACTAGACTATAGACTAGACTATAGACTTAGATTAGACTATAGACTAGAC